ATGGCAATCAACATTTAACATTGTGTTCGTTAGAAAAAAAAGATGATCTATTTCGCTTTCACTCTAGAATGAAGAATTAAATAACACCAGATATTAAAATTTGAATTCTCAAATAAAAAACAAAGGGTAAGCTGCCAACACATAGCCCCTCTCATTAAAAATAAAACAAAGAACAGTTTACCAAAGAAGCACAATTAGATTATTTGACTCCACGGACTAGCAGAAAACAGTTACTTAAATAGTGTTGAAACTCGTGGATTGAAATAAAAACGCAAGTTTCCTGCCAACAATGGGCCAACCGGAATCTAATAAAGTATCACGAATAATATCAACAGTAATTCACACAAGGATTTCTATTTCTTTTCTTCCGCGTCAATAAGAGTTGCGAACCATAAATCTCCACAAAAGCCAACTTGCAACAACACAAATCTGCAGCAAAGCAAGAATCTCATCTCTTTTCTTAGTACATTTTTAATTGTACCTGCTGCAGAAATCTCAAAAATCCAGTCAGTCAAGTCTTTTCGTACGATTTTTAGCACCAGACATTTTGAGGTTCTCGTTGACATTGAGAGTAGTCAATTCACTAACTACCTGTTTCAAGAAAAGGAGAAATGCAAGGGCAGAGAATACGTGGCTGAGGGTCCATTGATAGAACGGAAGTTAATACTTGAACATGCTCCATTTTAGAGAATAGTACGTCCTCAGCAGAATGACAGAAGTAAACAGGAATTCGTGGCAATCTCTGCTGAAAGACAGCTGTGAGCAGGACAACCGGAAAAATATTCTTGCTTTTAGAATTTTGCCAATCACAGGGAGCGCCATGGCCCCAACTTCCTGCCCACCCCACTTAGCTACGCCAGGGCTATCTATACTAAATACATACTATATAAAAAATTAAGGGACTGTCATCATTCCAGTAGCTAACAAAAATCAAATCTAAATAGACGTTTGCTATCGACACAAACCGTAATTACGCGACTTGCCTGTCGTTGATACTGCACCTACCTGGGATTGTACCTATTGCACAATAACCCCCGCGAGTGTACAAACGAAAATAATCAACTGACAAAAAATTAGGTCCATCAAGAGAATCTCATTAATTATGATTAATTAATTAGACCAGCACTAAATCATCGATTTTAAAAATTACTGCTATATATAGAGCTACGGCAGACATGCGAAACACGGGAAAATGCCATATGCATAATTTACCGTTTAAGCTCACGTTTGAATGCTGGTGCGATACTTCTAACGACGACATTTAACGAGTCTGTGTTTTATCAAGGTGAAATGAATCGCACAGTGCTAAATAAGCTAATTATAGGAAAAACATAACCAGGGACTGAAATAGTAATAGGCAGTGCCCCGTATTCAGAAAACTTGTTGCCGAATAAACTTACTAACAAAATTCTGATTACTATGAAGCACTTGTATACAAGCGGAGTCTGAGTTCTGACTTCAAGTATTAAAAACGAATCATTCCGGCCACATACCGCTGACAGTCGCCAGAGTGATATTTTGCTCCGAGCTATTCTGTCTGAATTATTCCGCAACTCGCTTGCTGACTTCTGATTCGAGTAAGGCCCTTACGTTTTGTCGCCGTCCAGGATAATCGATTTTGCTAAACGTAAAAAAGGCCATCAAAAACTCCTCAATTGTGTCTACTATTTTCGTCTTTTACCGACGCCTTAATACAAGGCGCTCTGTGCGATGGCACAGACTAGACTTTTCCTTAGACGTTATGCATGGCTGAAATGAAAATGGTGTTTCATCGATTGAAACGCAATAATTATATTTTAGATATCTCATTTCTAACCACAGCTCAGGCCGCCCGACGATTCTGTTAGAACATTAACACGCACGGGTTCCAGGCTGTTCAACTTCTAGCAGAGATTCCCGCGTTGAAAAACATCTTGAAGTGATGATAACACAGAACATATCGCATTAACAATCTTGCAGATGTTGGCACGTCCTCTTCAAAGTCTAGTATGTGCGTGCATTATATACAGGAAGTGAATAAATAATAGATCATATATAAAAAACAAAAAATTTAATATAATAATAATAATAATAATAATAATAATAAGAAGAAGAAGAAGAATATAAGAATATAAGAAATATAAAGAAGAAGTACAATATAAGAATATAAGAAATATAAGAATAATAATAGAATCTATTATTATTATTCACTCCTGATTATATAAATCGCGGGCGTATAGGCCCTATGCGCACAGCGGAAATTATAAACATATTATATACTGTGAATTTCCGGAAACTCGACAAACATTGTCCCGGATAAACATCGGCAGCAGATGAAGCGAAGTCGATCAACCTACCCGCTCATTTCGAGCAGCGAATGCGCCACTTTATTTGATGTATTGAAGCACTTTCGAGCTCTCTCTAGTTTCCACCGCTTGTCTCCGCGGTAAATTACAACCTACGCTACACACCGATGGCGCAGCGTTTTCTCTTACCGCGGTATCAAACTAATTGTCACTGTTCCCAGGAACTCGCGCTGGGCGAACGAGCGATGCTCATATTGTAAGCGAATTACACGTAATCCAATCGTTGCCTGTTCGCGTATATATTTAAATACCCTATAGGCGGAGAATGGTGATAGGGGCGTGATGGGTAGTTCATATTGCACGAATGTTATTGCTGATATTGTTTGTACGCTTTCGGTTTTGTTGTTGTTGTTGCAGATATCACGGTGTCATGACGGTGCGTAAAGCAGTCAGCATGATGGTGGCTGCATGGGTTCTGGCATTCTTCATTGGACTTCTCCCCGTAATGGGATGGAATCTTGGCAGACCGCCAGCGCCAAGGCACGTATACCAAGAGCACGTATCACAACAGAAGAAACTAATATAAAATTATCTTGGAGATTATTCCCTCTTGGTGACAACTATAGTGGTCGTATAGTTTGCTTATTTTATTGTAGTACTTGCCACATTTATTTTACGAATCCGTTCACGTGACTGTCATATATGCGTAGATATTATGACAGGCTTGTGATTGTACCATTCGATACTATGTTTATAAAATGACGATCCATTGACTATCATAGGGAATCGAAAAAATTAGGCCACTCGATGATTGTACAACTCCCAGAATAAATAAGGGGTTATTAAATAGACATTCCTATCTCCAATATGTTTTCCAACATAAATAACCTAAATTATACCGATAGGCTTTCCAGCATTAATAAACTAAATTATACTCTAACTAAAATACTCTAACTCCAGTTCATACACTCATAGCAAATTCATACTAACGGTATAACTATGGTTAGGCCATAGCGTGTGGTAGCTTGTGCATGGTGTGTGGTGAAAAGAGTGTGGTAGCTACACATTATTAGTGCATGTGGGTATCGATCTGTTATTGAACTGGGTTAGGACCACTGCGTTTGAGCAGAACTGGTGTATGGTGGATTACGTGTCAAATCAGTCAAAACATATTATGTAGGTTTGCAAACTAACCACATAAATCTCACAAACCACACAGTATAAATCACATTGTACACAAACTTGCTTATTATACACAAAATATATAGTAGGTCTCAGGGGAGAGATAGTGAATATAGAAATAAGTTGTGGATATAGAAATCAGTTAACCCTAATCCTAACCCTAACCCTAATCCTAAACCTAACCCTAACCCTAACCCTATCCCTAATTCTAAAATAAAACAAAATTAGCCAAAAATAATAAAAAATAAAATAAATAAGAGACAAAATTAGCCAATAGCCAATCAGAGCCGTCCCTAGCGGATCACTTTCTCTCCCTTGTGCAAAATTCCAAAATATATGTATGTATATGTAGTATATATATCATATATATATATATATATATACATATATATATATATGATATATATATATATACGCGTTCAAAAATCTGAGCATGTTTCAATTGTATAAATATTATGGGATATCGTAGCCGGTGGCAATGGTGCAGAGCGTATCGTATATCACTACCTCGAGTGAGCACGGCGCGCATAGTAAAGCGGCAAGCATCATTTATGTACTGGTCAAGTGTTCATTAAATATAGGATCATATGCATCTCGATTCAAAATTACGTGATTTAATTGCTGCGAATGCGCTCACTCTCTGTTTGCTCGAGCGATGTGTTGTACTCATGTAGTTAATGCACCTGATCTGCCGCTATCTATGACTCGTCTTATTCGTGCACTTAATTATCATTATCATTATCGTCGTCATTATCATCGTCATCATCGTCATCATCATCTCATCGTTTGTGTCCGTTCAGTTGTTGTGTCGTCATCGTCGTCTGTTTTACTAGTATCTGTGTGTGCGTAAATGCCTAATATACACACGTGCGTGCGTGCGTGCGTGTATGAGTGCGTGTCTGTACGACGCGAATGCGTGCGCACTTGTGGATGCATGCGGCACACGATGATTGAACGTGTTCATATGTATGAACGTGATGTGTGTCGACGAACTGCATTGAAGCCGTGATCTAGGTTATACAGGATCTGATTAATCGCTTCTTATTGCGCCATTTTGACGATGATAGAGCTAGTGCATTTGTAGTAGTGAAATAGTAGGTGAATTGTAGTACCGTGGAAACGCTAGAGAGAGAGAACATACAATCGTTTAGGGACGGCCGCGATGGCTCCAGCAGACAACCGCCATACTAAGAGCGGACATATAATTAACATGTGACAGTAAGCAGTCTAAAATGGTACGAGCGCATTCACTATACCCAGAACACAGCTAAAATTGTCGACCAGCCATCATTAAGGTACCCTTAATGACGGTGCTGGCGATCTGTGCAATCGTCAAGGGGGCAACAAACATTGACAATAAACTGAGAC